TGATTCTTATAGGCTACGACTGTGAAGAGAGAGTCCATGTTAAACAGACATTTGACTGAGTAATCTGTTTGTTTGTTGACAACAATCCCTTAATCCCATCCGCTCTATGTGTGTGTGAAAGCTGGATATATTAACAGAGAAGAAAAAGAATGCAAGTTCAATCAAGAGCATCGACAGGATGCCAGATTGTCAAAGATAAATTTGGGATGAGAAAGCGGAGAACAATAAGAGTGAGCAACTGTGGATTTTTTTCCCATTCGAAAGATTATCTATAAAGCCGATCAGCCACATTGCATATATACATTTTGTGTCAAGTGGGGGCTAAATGAATTAGATTTTTCATTAATTAGATGTTTTTATTTATTTCCATCCACTATTTATATAATATTTATTTATATTTTTGCTAATCAGCATAATCAGCATATCATCTAATGTCACTTGGCCACCTTTATCACTTGTATGTCTACAGCACAAAGCCCTTTTTCCAATTAATAAAGTAATAAATAGGCTATTCTGTATAAAAAAATAAATGAAAAATACTCCACTTCATCTCCACTGTTTATTTACTAGCTGTGGTTTACGATCTGTCCCACTAATCTCCCGGTGAGATAATCACAGGCCCCTCATTTGATCCGGCCCTCCTGGGTGAGGTCTGGCCAAAGTCTCCCATCAGCAATTTCCTGTTGTCATTGATTTTGTTGTTCTTCACCAGTACTCAAGAGACCTGATGCTCGTTTCAGCTGGCCCAGGACCAGTTTACCTGGCCTCATGCACTGCACATACTAATGCAGCCGATATCCAAAGTGCTGACTTGACTTGAGCATCCAGGACATTGCAGAAAAAAAGGTATCCTGATCTTGTGCATGGGGACGTGTGCTTCTGCTAATCCCATTTAAAACTCCTCAACACTGTGAACGGTTGGAATATTCATGAGGTAATTAGAGGAATGCTAATTAATTCCTCATAAATTATTAACAAATTGCCGACACACATGCTAACATCTGTTTGGTTTTGTGGTTGCACGAAGACCTATGTGTTGAGTGGTACCACACTGCATTCTAGTGGTTGGTGATGGTATTACCTCACATCCGTTAATTGAATAATCTGGGTTAAATGCAAGCTAAACTCTATTGAAATCATCTAAGACACACTGTAGATTCCTTTCTATGATTAAGCATATCTCAAACTGTAAATTAAACAAAATGGAGGTGAATTTTATAACACTTTTTCCCACTAAAGTAGTTGTCAAAGCAGCAATGCCTAACAGTAGTGGATACTGATACAAAAATATAGTGGAGATCAGAAGGGGGTGCATCACAGAGGAACTAGAGGCCAGCTTGATTAACAGTGTTTAAGGTTGAACAGGGGAACAAATCAATGGAGGGCAATCGATGGGGGTGGCTCAGCTTGGACTTTGCGGTACATACAAAGATGTAACTCTCAAGCGTATGTACACTAGAGGATAGACTGGATAATGGCTATTGACAGCAAGGTTACTATATAGCAAAACAAGGCTCTGTAATCAAAATCATTCATTTTCAGAACTTTCTTTTAAATGCATAGCTCACCCAAAAAGGAAAATTCTGTAATCATTTACTCACGTGTCGCAAACTTCATTTGGTACTTATTTTGAATAAGTAATAACTTCACAACCATGTTTTATGTGATGGATGTCTGTTGTAAGAATGTAATCTATAGACTACATTCGCCATGCTGTCATTATCATGTGACCTATCAGTGTCAGCTTCACTACCATTCACAAATCCTCTCCTCGTGGGATAGAAAAATGTACATCGTTTGCAGACTTCAGAATCTCACAAGAATTAGTGGTCCAAATGGGTAGCTACTTTTTGTCTACCCTGGAATTATGCGAATTCAATTCAGACATAACTATTTTTATCACATACTGTTAACCTACTAGAAGTATGCCCCCTGGTGGCTGGCTGCAGTATAGAGTGCCGAAGTAATGACGTCTCTTTGTAGACCAAAACAGTTAGGATAGCACTTAGGCTACTGTTCCCTCGCTCAAAAGTCTATGGGTTTTTTGCTCAATCGCCTGAAATAAGGTCTGTGGTGAACAAAGCCTCTAAATATTTTGGCATAAAACACACCAGTTATAACCTGGTCTTGTTTTTTTTTTTAAACTTTATTGTGTCTGCTTGTGTTTTTTTAATAGACTTAAAAAATATACATTTTGGATTAACTTGCAAAGAATATCTTGATAGGCAACACGTGTAAGGGTCACAACTCTTTGTCGAACACAGATCTTATTTTTTGCGATTTTCCAAAGGTCTATGGGAAAAATGCAAAGCTTTTCGATCGAGGGAACCCATGCTCCGCTAACTTCCGAGTTGTCCTACAAAGTGACGTCACGCTGTCTTCGTAATTAATGGGATATAACAGCCAAACTAAAAAAAAAAACCATGTGGTGGTTTCTGTCATTTAGGTAGTTCTTATCAAGCAGACGTATGTTCAAGTATTCGTTTTTCCAACAAGTTTTTATTTGACGGGGTGTAACAACATGATTGACAGCTTCTCCAAAGACTCAGGCTTTAAATAACGTGATCAACAACAAACGTTTCTGGGATATTTTGGCTTCATTTTACTACAGTTGAAGGAAGTGCAGACATGTCATCCATTTATTTTACAGTACCGTTAAATAAATAAACATCTAAGTCCACAGTTAATCCAGTGCACTCAGCAATGGCAAACACACATTTGCTGTATTTCCTTTAAAATAGTTTTTCTTAAAGAAAATGTATTTTTCAATCTTTAGTCTGGCATGTATATATGAGATTATACAGACACTGAGTAGAACATCTCACAAGTGTTGTTCCTTTGCAAAAGTGAGCTGGTTGCTGAGCAACAGCCTCAGTACCTTGGAGATAAAAGACATATGTGAAACAGACTGATAATTAAACAAATCACAAGGATCTGTTTTCTTAATTTAAGTGTTTAATGTCAGCTATTTTAATGAATTCGGGCATGTGACTTAGCAAAAGCATTGGGTTATTTTTACTTAGTCGCATGCCACAATTTAACTTTACATTTTGAATATGAGCAGCATTAGAGATTTGTCAGACATGTGCTGTTATCTGAGATGGGACCGGCCAATTGGCTAAAAGATAACAAACTGTCAGTGGAAGGAACACATACTGTTACAGTAGAACAAGACAATCAGTTGCTGCCAGAATCTTTGCAATTCCAACCATATGGAAAAACCTTTTTATATTTTTATATAACTATATGCAAAACTATGTTTAAACCACATTGCAAAAAAAGTCTTGCTCTGGTGTAAGACAAATGAAGATATTAGCAAATGACCACAAACATGTACATTTCAGAAATGTTCCGTCTTCATTAACTTGGCAACCAAACATGGCAATTAACAAAGACAAGAATAAGTTTTTACAGCAGCTAACATTAATGATTTAACTAAATGGATTACAGAATTTGGAAAAAGAGGTTATAGGTCATTTTTAACCAGTGTTAGGGCAAAGATAAGAATAATGCATTACAGTGTTATTATTCCCTAAAAAAATAACTTTGTGTTACTTGGTTACTTTATGGAAACATACGTTGCATTCTTTTTTCTCACTTTCTCACTGTTTTTTAATAATCATGTTTAATTTGGACTTCTCTGTGCTTGCTCTTTGAGGTGGTGACCATAGACCTGCATTATATGACTGAAAGACAAGAACGGTTTGACCTAAAAATATCAAAATTACTGCGGAAACAAAGACACCTACATCTTGGATGCCCTTGAGGTAAGCTAAAACACACCAAAAATTAATTTCAAAGTGAACTTTCCCCATTTAAGCGCTTCGAAGCATTATTGCTTTCTGATACAATTGGCGAAGCTTCATTCAGAAATTGCCGCACCAATAGTAAATGTAAAGCACATCAGTTACATTGCTTGCGATATGCTACAATAATAATTTTAAAAAATGATGTAACTGATTACCTCAAATGTTTTGAGTTTTGCCTCATAGTTTACAGTCTTTGCAAACTGCATATATATCCAATGAATGCTGCAACTGTTGTATCTTGAATCATATAAATGGTCTGATTAGAGAATACAGCTTGTCGGCTTGTTCAGTTTAAACATCTGGCAAATGCGTGTGTTCAGCAACAAATAATTGATTATATGTGACTCATTGTTCTGATGAATAATTCAATGCTTCAATCACAAGAGAATCAGACTGCTGGTGTAGACCTAGATAAGCACTATTCAAACCCGATAACAACAAAAAAAAAAAGTCTGTATTGCAGAAGAATGCTGATTTTTTTTATTCATGAATAATATTTCACAAAGCTGAGGAAATTTCTGACCCATTCTGATGATCTTCTCAAAAATAAAGTCCCATTTGCATGTCTTCAAATGTAGAGAAATGGCAAAGTGTTTTGTGAAAGATAAAGGTGCGGAATCAGAAAGAATGAATCGATAAATGTGACAAATGTCTTTGGCTATTGCCTCAAGTGATGTAGCTATGCACAACTTCATTTGACAAAAAGATGTCTCTCCTCTCTTGTGGAAAATGCCTTCCATCAAATATAGTTAACGTGAAATGGCACAGAGGGCAAAATAGTTCCTTGTTATGTGGAAAGTGGGCCTTCATTTGACCGACCTCCATTTCTTAAAGGGATTGTTGTCGCCCCCCCAAAAAAATCCATCATCCCTTTCCAAACCTGTATGACTTCTTTCTTCTGAGGAACACACAATTACACATTATGAATAATGTACTTGTCACTGTTTTAACTACACAAAGGAAACCCAGCATTGTCTTGCAGTGATGATAAGCGAATCTTTCGACACAAGAACTATGTTATTTTTGGTTCCTGATACATGTGAAAGTGGTAGGCTACAAGCGAGACACATCTGCCTCAGATACTAGATCATGTGTTTAGGCCGCAGAGGATGTGGTAAATGAACATTTCAGACACTGATAACCACCAAGAAACTTTTCCACAGCGCTAATGTAAGCTAAGAACTTTTGAGTTGTAAGAGTCCATAAGATTCTTCGGTATCTTTTCTGCCTTTCTTTTACAAAATATATGTATATGTATGTGTTCTGTTAAATACCACAAGACAAACTTTGGAGTGTGTTTGTATGCTCCGTGATGTGGTATTTGGCCCTACATATCTTCACCGGTAAGCAGAAATTCATTATTTCTTTAAGCACACATGAAGCTTACTTTTTAAATACAGTATAATATTCATTCTTTTAGTATATGGAGCCTATGGTTGTGTGATGACAAGTTCAGACCAGAAGGTTAATGCTGGTACAGATGTGCATTTGTCGTGTAATTTCTTCCAATGTCCTGGACATCAGGATTTCATTTCTCTCAGTGCGGAGTGGGAATTCCAGGTACAAACCATCACAAATATGCAATTAATACTTTTTATTTGTAACTATAAAAAAAATAAACTATTGTTATAGTTATTCTATTGCTATTTTAACTGCTTCTATTGTTCTCATTTGTAAGTCGCTTTGGATAAAAGTGTCTGCTAAATTAACACAGTCTCATCCCAAGTCGTCATATACCTGACGTCTTGGGACGTCTTTTGACCATACTGTACGTCAACATCCACCTTTTTAGGGTACCCTTAAACGTCGGTTAGTTGACGATCCCGGGCCGTCATGCAACTGATGCTTTACCTTTAACGTCAATTAGGTGAAGCGGGAAGGTTTATGGGGTAGGTTTAGGTCTGGGGTAGGGTTAGGATCCAATAACGTCATCTAACCGACGTTTAAGGGTACCCTAAAAAGTCGGCTGTTGACGTACGTATGGTCAAAAGACGTCCCAAGACGTCAGTTATATGATGTAAATGTAAACTCATGCTTTAGTACTTATTCTATTTTTTTTTTTTTAAACACAGACTATCACTCAGACAAAAATAATCCTGTACTACATCAGCAATCAAACCGTATCAACACTTCCTGGTGTATATTTTCATGGAAATGTCAAAACGGGGAGTTTTGATATATACCTCCCATCCGTGACCCATGAGAACAATGGTACTTACCTGTGTAGACTGCGTCTCAGTGGCAGGTTCTTCAAGAATCATACACATCTTATTGTCCAATCAGGTAACACACCTTTGTTTGTTTTCTAAATGTAAATTTTTTTTTATTTGGTTTACTCATTGTGGATCATGTTATGTTCATGTAACAATGCGAGTACAGAGTTTCTTATTAATATTAGTTAATGCACTGTGAACATGAACAAAGAATAAACAACTTGTATTAACTAGGGTTAATGTATTAACTAACATTAACCCTTTGATATAAATAGACCCGACTGAGTTTTTTTTATTTTCTATAGCTTTGCAAGAAATTAATTTCATCATTCATTCCAGGTATCCCTCAATTATCTTGTTTCAGATCATTATCTTTATTTAAATTTTTCCTTTATTACTTTTCGAATAAAAATCATTTTTGTGTCACTGCCCTTCTAATGCGCAACATGGGTCTAAAATGACATGTATTCATGTTTATTTGTTGAATATTTGAAAGAAATGTATTTTATCGTTTATTTATTAAATAGAGGGTATGCGTGTGACGTCACCGTCGGCCGGAGTGCCTGCAGTTACTTACAGTGAATGGCAAAAAGAATGCGCGGCTGTATTTGTTGTTAGCGTGAATGCCGCGAAAAACAAACACAACACATATAAAGTGGGAAAGAGCTTTGCGATTGACTGTACAACTAGATTTGACAAAAAATCGGAGGTAAATTTTTACAGACTGCTATAGAAAGAGGAGCAAATGGATCGCTGCAATTCACAGAAACAACTGAACTCCAGTCAGCGAAAGGTGGATTTGCAGTTATCATTCTGTGCCAATATGCTGAATTTAGGTGTAAAACCATACCGTTATATATATTAACAACTCCTCAATTAAATATTTATCATTGCATATTCTGCATTATTGGATGTTTTTTAATAAACACTAACCAAAAAAAACTATAAAGTGTTAGGGCTGGACGATATATAGAGGCTATATATAACACTGATATAAGTGATCACCCCGATTTAGACCTACCTACTGTATATTGTATTTATATAAAGCTTTATATTTAGGTCTATATTGCTTTTATTTCCCCGGTGTCGAAATCAGGCAAACATAAATGTCAGGCAACACGATTCCTGGCTGCTTGTCAATAGCATGGATCACTGGATCTTTAGTAAGTTGTAAGGAACACTACAGTATATTGAGTCCAACATTTAGTTTAAATAGATACAATTGTTAGTTTTGTGTCCAAAGGATGTCATACCAAATGCAGCAAAATGAAAATGTAACTTTTTATAAGTTTAAAATCTTATAAGTGTCCAAAATGATTGAAAATGCCTGTCAAATTCAGAACATTCTTTCAGTGGATTAGTTTGTGTTAGAGCTCCGAACTCGTTCTTCTCACCTTTATTTTCTTCAGCACTGACCAGGAGAAACAGTCCAGGTGGGATTCATCCGCAGGCTCGTCCTCCCTGGTGGCTGGCCCTGGTGTCAGTGCCTGGGTTTGTGTTACTAATTGGTAGCGGGTTTCTGGCAAGGAGGGCTTGCAGATCAATCCAGAAAGGTGACGACTCAAAGTAAGTCACTGTCAGTCCAGAGAGAGATATAACACACTCTTAGAAGAAAAGGTTCTATCAGCGCTATGTATTTGGAACCCCTAAAAGGTTCTATACACTCTTAAAAAATGGTTCCTCTGGGTTCTATAACCCTGGGGTTCCATACTTGGCCAATAGAACCTTTTACCAAAAAAAAAAAAAAAAAAGGTTCTATATAGAACCATTTTGGAGCAAACAGTAGGGTAAAGGAGCGCTTCCTGGATTTCAAAGTTTGGTTAAAATAGAGGTGCTCTTGGATGGGAAACTGTATATGATGAAAAGGCAAGGGAACTCCAAGGCACTCTCAAGTAGAAAAGTTAAAAAGCCTTTATTATCATGGCTTGGTCAAATTAACCATCTTTTTTAGATGGTTAATTTGACCAAGCCATGATAATAAAGGCTTTTTAACTTTTCTACTTGAGAGAACCATTTTAGAGTTCCATATATGAAAAGGGGGATGGATCCATTTCTGGTTCTAAATAGAACCATTTCTTCTAAGAGCAGCTTGGCATTTTTAATTTTTTTTTTTCCTGCTTGTCTTCATGTTGTGCTTTATTTTCTATAGGCAAAATATGGAAGAGGTTAAAACCAGAGCTGCCACTGAAGATATGGGAATTACATTCAAGGTAACACTTTGTAACTTCTGCATTTCTGCTCTCATTTCCTATCTTTGCTTTCTTCTCTCGGTAAAGTAAATTAATAAATCAAATTTTCATATATTCCACGCTTTGTTTATTCTGTTTAAATCAACAAGGTTGAGATTTAAATCTATACTGAACGGGGTGATGATTTTAAGCCAATGTCCAAAAGGGATAGTTCACCCTAAAATAAAATAAAAATTAAAAAAATTAAAAAGTCACAATTTACTCACCCTGGTGTTGTTATCCCTTCTTTCTTGTATGGACCACAAAAGGAGAAAAAAAAAAAAAAACTCACACTTGTCCATATAATGACAATGAATAGTCATTAAGCTTTTTAAAAATTACGATTCAAGCTTTTTGAAATTCTCCTTTTGTTGTCTAGAAAAGAAAGAACGGTAAAAGGCATTAAGACAGTAAATTATGAATTTATTTATGAAATTATTTAACAAAGAAATTGTGAAATTAAGGCAAGCCATTTTCACTTGGCAGCCATTGAAATACTGCGTGCAGCACGTTCTCCCATTCATAAATAAGAATGAGT